GCTGACGCTGGTCCTGGAGCTGGCGAGCTCCGTCAGTGCCAGAGCTGCGCAGCCCTCGCGCTGATGTGGCAGCCTGGTAACGAGGCACCTGGCTGCCTGGTGGTACTTCATCCTCGGGTTAGGTGCTCCTCAGGTGTGACGCAGCTGGGGAGGTAGCTCTGCAAGCCATCCAGAAATGAACGGCTGGAAGAGGAGGTGCCGTTCTGTATCTAACTGGCTGAAGTGTCCAGAAGTCACTGGCCAGGGTGGAACCTCCTTTTGCTCTGTTCAGCCTGCTGGAAACCCTCTCTTGGTGGTAGAGATCACACTTGGTTTTAGTGACAGAGAAATGGTGCCATTCCAGAGTACTGTCTGTGCTGCTCTCTCGCCGAAGAGCAAAACCCAGGGTTTTCAATTCAACTTCCAGGTGATTTCCATAGTCACCAAGATGCACGTACATACAGCTGTTCTCTGCTTTTCTGCTGTGTGATGTGCATCTAGCTCAGATGCACACAGACAAATCTGATTAATCCCAATTCTCAACTTTCATCTGAATGAATATCTTGAAACCTGTTTTTTCTGGAACACTCTTTGTGCAGAGGAAGCTTTATGCATTCCAGGCAGCAAAAATGTATATGCATGATCAGGTATTTTGAGGATCCAGTGCCAGTGGTACGGTCAGTTGAGAATGTCAGTGATTCCTATGGAGGCATTCCTTTGAGGATGTACTCTGGGCTGTTCATGTATTTATCAATAAATCACAAAATTAATAATTTGGTTAACAGAGTACTATGGAGTTTAATTGAGTGTATGTTTTAATAAACAAGTCTCTGCTAAGTTGTCAGTCATGATGTTTCCTGGAGATCACAGTCTTTTGAATTTGCTTGCATTTCAGTGTTGTTTGTATGTTGTTCATTTTATTTATGGCCATTATGAATAATCATCTCATACTAATGCCATACCTGAACTATTTAATTATGCATTTATTTATAATACTGTTCCTCATGATAAAGTTATTGGATCCATCAGTTCAATCTCACTGGGCAGAATAAAATCTTCAGGGGGTTCAGAGCTGGGAAGTGACCTTAGTCAGCAAAGTTCAGGTTTGATTTTCTGTTCCTTTAAAGCCTACTGATTCAATCAGATCTCCCACCTTCAAAACTTCTGTGAGGAAAATCCTTTATGGCATTTTAAGTGGATAACTGACAGTTATGCTTATTAATTCTGTGTTTGTTTCCTAGCTGCGCTCCAGGACCATATTTAATTTTGGGGAAATGCCCTCTCAGCTGTGTTACATGACTCCCTTTCCACCTGTCTTCACTAAAAAAGCTAGGAGTAGTAAAATTTTGCAGATGTTAGGCACAGCACTTGGCAATGTTCTCGCTGAATGAAATGAGATGGTCTTTGTTCACAGCTCTTTTCCTCTGCTCCTTCCTTTCTGACAGTACTGTTGCATTTTAACCATCCCTGTTCTAGTCTCTGATGAAACCTTCCAAGGAATCAGTTTTGGGGTACCAGGCTATTATGCTTTTAGAGAAGCCCATAATCCCCCTTTCTGTGGCCCCTATGATGTGTTCAGATTAATCAACCAACAGTCTCTGAATAATTCATGGAAAAACTTTACGGAGACCTGATGCTATTCAGAACCACTAGAAAGGTCAATTTATACTTCTGGCTACTGCTAGATAAAACATAAAAGATCTACAAGTCAAAGTGTAATGTGTGGCCTACAAGGAAGCTGGGGGGGACTTTTTACAGGGGCCTGTGGTGACAGGACAAGGTGTAATGGGTTTAAATTGAAAGTGGGGAGGTTTGGATTAGATATCGGGAAGAAGTTCTTCCCGGAGAGGGTGGTGAAGCACTGGAACAGGTTGCCCAGAGAAACTGTGGATGCCCCATCCCTGGAAGTGTTCAAGGCCAGGTTGGATGAGGCTTTGAGCAACCTGGTCTAGTGGAAGGTGTCCCTGCCCATGCAGGGGGGTTGGAACTAGATGGTCTTTCAGGTCCCTTCCAACCCAAACCATTCTGTGATTCTATGGAAACATTCTGTAGCATATGTAGAGGAACAATTCTGTTTCATTCCTAAGTTTATCATCACAAAAAATGATATGAAATAAATTTTCCATTATCACATCTGACTGAAGTATCCCAGCCTGCTCTCACGCTTTTCCTGATCTCCGGGAAATACGAAAATACTGAAGCTTTTTATGAAGCAGGCATGTTCATTATTTCTCAAGAGTGGATTGTATCTTCGGGTGCTCAGTTCTGTCCCCTGATTCTACTTAATCTATTATATCTGCCTTTGCTCATTCTGGTTTAATATTAAGAGATTCAGACAATTTATTTTCCTTGGTTTTTTTCCTTTTTTTCTTGTTTAGTGAAGTATTTAAAAAATATTTTCTACTCTTCCTGTAAGTCTATTCTTGACCTGCAAGAGGAGTGAGCGTAAACTTCATGGGAGACTACTGCCTTTTGCACCCTTATTTTGCTCTAACATATATACATATGCCATTTCAAGGCTGCAAAGCCTTATTCATGCTGATTTTTATCATTTTTTGTTTGCTTTTACAGAGTGTTTGTAAGAGTTCATCGTAACTGTTTATAACCATGATAAACTCTATTAAATACAATTTCAACAAGTGATTGATCTAGTTTCAAGGTTATTTCTTAGTGGGGAGTCTGAATTCGATTGCCTTTTTAGACATTCTTTATCAATTTTGGTACTGTTTTCTCCTGACCATTGCATCTTTACTATTTTAGATTAAAACAGATCTGTTTAAAGTTGTATTATTCTTTAAAGTGTTTAAACACATATTAATCAAACTGTCATTACCACACTGGGTATTTCATACCAAACAATTTTTTTTTTTTTTTGGTGAGATTGCGTGTTTAGCATTTTCATTCCTTGAGAGCCATTTCTGGAAAATGGGAATAATATCCAAAACCAATATGTAATTTTATTCCAGCATACAAAGATGTGTGCCAGCCTTGAAACAGAGATTTAACTGTTTTGTTTCACATTTTCTTACACCTTTATGCATTTAATTTATTACCTTTTATTCTGTTTCTGCCCTTGTTTGACCCCCATGTCATGCAGTGCTCTGTTGTTTTTTTTATTTTTCCATACTGTCATGCTCTTCAGGTACACACTTTGTGGATTCAGCTTTTGCATATTAAGGATCCAATTGAGCACTTAAAATTTCAGCTAAATTGAAGTTCTCAATCAGACCAGGTGCAGCAATTTGATATATCTTGTGTAGGACAGCCAGTGTGAATGGTTTTTATTTACTTATGTTTGTATTGTGGCCTCTGCAGTGACAGTGCATTAGGGCTGTGCTTGGTAAAGCTTCTTGAGCATGTTTACATGTATGACATTGGATCCTGGTACTTGTTCTACCTCTGCTGAAAGCTCTGTACCTGTTTTCTGCTCCTACTCTTTCCTATTCTCACATGTTATAAAACCATATGGTAATTACTGAAACAGTAGTTAACCTGTTTCCTTTTGGTTATCACTAGACTTGAAGCGGGTATCTTCCAGTTCCTGCCTTCCAAACCCAAGCTGTTCGATGAGGGCCAGAGCAGGTGGAATACTGTTTCTTAAGGGTCTGTTGTTCCCTGATCCTCACATCCCATTAGAGCATCCCTATCCCTGTAGTGTGCGCTCCCAAGGATGTCCTCACTTTATACAAGGCAGAATGATTTTATAACCTCATTTATTCAGACATAAAAAAAAGTGTTGGTTTTTTTTTTTTTGGTACACACATATACAGGGCTTATATTGGAGCTGTGGGTTGTCTTATCTGCACAGTTCTGATTTGTTGTTCTTGATTGATTTGGGCATCAGAAAGATTTTCATATTTTTTGACTGATCTCCCTCAGGAGTGAGAGGCTCAACACTATGTCTGTATGGACTTACCTAAATGGAAGCTCTACATATTTTTAGTGGATTTTTTCTCTTAGTACTGAGGGGAAAAAAGGTACATTTATATTTTATTTCTCATGCTTGGTTTTTTAAATAAAAGTCTATATCCCCTGAGGGGTGAACTAACACTATCTAATTTTTATAAGCCTCTTCTCACACTGGTATTGTCTGTAAACACTTGAATCCTTCAGGACTAAAGAATGGAACTCAGTGTCAGTAAACAAATCACGTTTATTGCTTCCTAAGTGTTTACACAATGACAAAAATCAAGCCCCCAGGGAATAATATTGTCAAAAGGAACAGTTGGTTTAAATTAGGTTTCCATGTGAAATATAGCTACTTTTTTTATGGGTGTTGTGGGAACATAAACTGGAAAGAAAATCTGCACACTGATAAAATGAAGGTTTGATGTTTATTTGTTTAAATACAAGCAGAATGATGTATTAGGTCAACTTCTGATTCTGGCATTAATTAATCACCAAACAGAACTCAGTAGTGTGGTCACACCTAGGAAGGTGGGGTTTTTTTTTTGTTTACTTCATTTGTGATCTTGCAAATAGGTAATGTGAATTGTTTTAAATGTTCAGTGCTATAGCAATTAGCAAATTTGTACATTAAATGCAACTGTCAGTTTTGTGAAATTAAGCAAAAATAAAAATTCCAATTTATCAACTTTCACTGTTCATGTTGTAAGAAATAGGATTTTACAGTGTGAGGCTGAGGTTTGTAAGCTGTGTTAATAAGAATTTACACTGCAGATCTCTCTGGTAGCTTGAGAAATCAGCACTACTGTAAGCTGTCCATTTTCTTCAATGACCTGAATGCATATTCACATCACTTTATATTAAGATACGGTAGGTTTTTAAGGTAATTATTTCTAGATTAGTTAACGATTTAACTGTTGTAAAGTGAGTATGTTTGTGTTCGAGGTGTGACTGCAATGCATATGTGATTTGGCTGTGAGTGTATAAGTAGGATTTTAACAGATACACTCCTGATGGAAGGAAACAAAAAAAATCCACATTATCCATCAAGTATGCATGAATGCTCCAAGTGACATTGCTTTGGCTGACTGTTACTGTCTGTTTTATTTCACAAGGTGAGCTCGTGGGTTACCTGGCTGATCCTGACTGCAGGTTCTATGGAGGAGAAACGAGAAGTCTTCTCATATTTAGTACATGTGGCAAAATGCTGTTGGAATATGGGCAACTACAATGCTGTAATGGAATTTCTGGCAGGCCTAAGGTACTGGCAACTCTTTTTATAAATGGCTTTTCAGTGATAGATTACACTGCAGCTTCTGTTAAGCAGATGTCTCTGGAGAACAATGGATTAAACAGAAATCCATGGCTAAATCACATCATCTCACCCTGTGACTTTCTAGTAATCCCTTTTGGAAAAATGAAGCATGTTAAAAGCCATTTTTTTAAAAAATGCTCTGGAGACACCATCATTTTTTCTGGTACGTGCTAAATATGTTACATTAGAAAACATACTATTTTTTTTGAACAGACAATTTTTAAATGTGAAAAGAAGATGGGAAAACAGCTGTGGTTAATATGTAATCAACTAAAACTAATGTGACTTGGGACTGGAGTTTCCAGAACACATGGGAAACATAATCATGGTTATGTTCTGAAAGGGTCAGTGATAAATTGTAAAAAAAACCAGCAAACCAAACCAACAAAATCTCCAACAAAACCCCTTTTTTTCACCTGTCCAATTTACCTATGCTGACTGATGTTGGGATCTCAGCTGTCATGGTTGTATATAGCCAGACCTGCAGTGTTTCCCGGAGAAAGACGGAGTGTGGGGTTCAGTACAGTTTGTTGCTAGCTTTCTTCCAGAATCGCAGGTTCATACGCGGCGGGTGAGCAGGATAGCAGTGCCTTTGCACAGGCAGCAAACTGGAGTGAACCAGGGAAGAGTTAAGATCAGATTGCCCATCTCTTAGCTTTGACCTTCCTTGTATATTGTGTTTGTGTAACAAAGATTTAAAGTGTTTGTATTGTCTCTCTTTGTGGTGTAGTAAGGATTCTCATTGAGCTATTTATTTACATTTTTGGTATATAAAGCACATTTGAAACACTCATAGTCTTTTTGAGTAGAATGCATCTACAGACTCCAAGCCATGTAAGTTGAGAGAGAAAATGCAAACCCAATTAAGGGCTTAATTTTATCCCTAATACATGTGCACAGCACAAGGGAAGAGAGGAAGGCTAGTGCTGATTAGCAGTGTTTTCCAGGACAGAAAGTTGCATTAAAGATGTTCTGCTGTTAGTGTTTCTACAGACCTTTCAGTATATTTGGGCCCAGGAGTGGGTAGAAAGGCCTTATCATTGCATAGACATACAGCTTAGATGGTGAGAGACATCCCACTGGTACTTGCAGTCCTAAGGGAGCGTAAGGAGCTATTTCTGTTTGAAATCGAAGATTCTTTTCATCTACAGCACTGCATTGATGTCTGAGACCTGGAACATGGTCCTGACTTACTTATTTCTGTGAAAATGAATAATCTATTTTGTGAGTGAAATGGGGAAAAAATGATTGTAAATTATTCTAAATAAATTTAATTTTAAAACTCCCAAACATTTGCTAGGTTTATGGATTGTTCATAATACAACTAAAGGAACTTGTAATAAACCATGTGGTTTATTGTTATGCTGGTTCCTTAATCTTCTGTTATTTATTCCAAGGTCTTTATCAATTTAAGGCAATGACACAATGAAAGTGTTAGAAAGCCTGCTTGTATGTTTTATGCAGCAGGGCTTTTATTAAAAACTCCAGTAGATCAGACTGCTTGTTTCTCCTTTTTAGTTTTGTTCTTTAGTAATTCAAAGGGGGAAAAATGGTCCGCCAACCAGAATTTTCATAAAAATAATGACCTTGCTTTCATTCATTCATTTCTAAATAACGATGATAATTTAATCTATTACATGTATGCTGCAGGTGTTGAAGTTGAATGTAAATTGATTTTAGTGTTTTTAATAAATGTTGTGATCTTTTTTTGAAATAGGTCAAGAAAAGTTTTAAAAATGTGGCAATTCATGGACCAGTCTGATATTGAAACCATGCGAAGTCTGAAAGATGCTATGGCACAACATGAGTCATCATCTGAATACAGGAAAGTGGTCAACAGGGCACTCAATATTCCAGGCTGTAAAGTTGTTCCTTTCTGTGGTGTATTTTTAAAAGAGCTTTGTGAAGTTTTGGATGGAGCATCAAGCCTCATCAGACTCTGTCCACGATATAACTCACAGGATGAAACATTAGAGGTAAATGAGATCAATATTCTAAGAGGTTATGCTCATAGCCTTATATTATATTATATTATATTATTTATTATTTTATACAAAGGCATCATCTAATTAAAGTTTTCTAAATCAGACTGTTACCAGACAGTAAAGTTCAGTTGCATGGACCTCAATTTAATTCCCATAGTTACTGGAGCGATTTAGATTTCATTTTTTATAACTAGTTCAGTACTGGAGTACTGAGAAATTACCGGTAGTACCAATGATCATGTTTATACTTCGGGTAAAGTAAATATATAAATCCTTAAAGATGTAACTCTTTGACTTCCGTGTAACTCATTGGGAATTGGAAGGTTTTTAGTTCCTTAAAAACAGAATTCAGAAGCTCAGTGGATCAAGCTTCTCATCTATGAAAAGAGGCAATTACTTTGAGTTTTATCATTCTGGTTTTAAAAGAAAAATGCCTATGTTACATGAAAAAATTAAGACTGAGGCTTTTAAAAAGTTTTCAGGAGTTATTGTAACTTACGTTACTTGATTTATGTAGTGATATGGTCTGTTCAGGCTTGCGAGTAGGTACAAAATCCCATTAGAAGCTAATGGGATATATATGCTAAATAGTCTTCATTCTTGTAAAAATTTCTCCAGTGAGAAATAATAGAGATACTAATCTTTTAGATATCTTTAGTTTGTTTCAGATTACAATGGACAAGATAATTTCTTGCAACGAGTAGGCCAAGATGGTTTAAATAATCCAGAAAAAGAATCAACAGCAAACAATATCTTTCAAACTATTCGGAGCTGCAATCGCAGTTTGGAATCTGAAGAGGGTGAAGATAATTATAGTGAAGGAAGCAATTCAAGAAAAAACTCTTTGAAGGACAAAAACCGGTACCAGTAGGTCCCATTTTTATTTTCTATTGTCACATGTACATTTCATGGGTTTTATCTTTAATTTCCTTTTACCAAGTCTTGCTTTTAGAAATAAGGGTGAGTTTGACATCTTCCCTGGTATTTATCCTCTTCCAATTCATAACTGCAGGGGAGAGCTTTTCTCCCCTGCAGTTATGTTAAGTATCTGATGCCCAAATGCTTGGAAAATCTCTGTATAGTTATATTTTCCCTCATGATGTAATTACTTCCTCTCACGATAAGGGTAAATCCTTTTTGTCTTACACATAGAGCTTTAAAAATCCACAGTTACGATTACAATTTTGATCTGTGGTGACAGGAATAGCACCAGGACATATCTGTTATCAGAGCTCAGAACATTATATTCTGCATACTCAGGCAGCGTTCTGCCCCCTTCTAAATAAAAGTTATTTATTGTCCTTCAAGAGACCTCTTCTTTTAAGGACATGTTTGTTTGAGGCTTTTAAATTATGCCCAGAAAACATTCGTAAGTCAGTACATATTTTGAATTTTCGGGTTGCTGTAGTCCTGCTATAGAAGTTTACTTATTTGTGCCCCATGTAAAAAAGCCCAGTGCTAAGTAATCTCAGATTTTCACTTCAAAAACCTGGTATATTCTGTACCATTCACCAGCAAGAAATACTGTAAATGCCAAGTTTAAGGCATCACTGGATCTTCCAGAATGCTGCTTTGCAGTGAAGGTGCAGCTGGTATAGACATAGGTCTGTCAGCTTTAAACTACGTAACCCTGTTAGAGTAACTTCAAATAAAGTAACAGAACTGTACTGCTCAGAGGTGAAGTGTGGTCAGATTACGTGAGGGCTTGCTTAGGTCACTGCTTGAGTTATTTTATTGATAAAGTGTATCAGAAACATCCCTATATGCAGAAGTATCCAACATATTTCAGCTTCTTACACAAAAAATCTAATAAGTGACTGCCTGAAAAGGAACTGCTATCTTCCTGTTTTAAATGCATTTATTTCATTACCATGCAATTCTAAATTTAATTTCAAATAAATAATCATTATTTCCTGAAAGAATGGTTTCTAATAGAATTATTCACATCTGGCTTTAGTTGCTTCTGGAGGGTCGAGCAGTAGTTTAAGCCAAGAAAGACGGACCCGCTTCTCTGTCCATTTTTGTTGTCTCTTGACTTACTTCAGTTCAAATACTTTCTTGCAGGAATTATTCTTGTTTATTGATATGCTTTAAAATCAGCTTACAACTCACAGTTCAAATGGAAAATAAGCTAGGGAAATCAACATTTCACCAGCATGCACAAAGTAGGATATAAATATAAAAGAACAGTATGGAGAAAATTAAGTTCTCTTTGTTATGTGTTTATGAAATCAGTTATTGGTAAATTAGTTATTTGTACTTTATATTTAAATATAATCCAGTAAATTCTACTCTAATTAAAGTAGGAATTAAATGTAAAAAAAGCTAATATGACACTGAAATGAAAGTTCAACATTTAAATGAACAAAATGGCAGATAGGTAATTAAAGTTTATATAATTATCTTTATATAATAAGATTATAGTTATAAATTATATAATGTTTATGTATTACCTGGTAATTGTAATATTGTGGTCATAAAGGCAGAAAAATACACTGTATGACATGTTTCTCATTACTTCAAAATTGCAAGGAAGATTTTGAATTCATTTGCCTTTTGCTGATTTGGATTAGTATTGTGCAACATGAACCCACCAAAGCTGGTAGGTTAGTTTGATTTGAAGAAAATGAAAGGTGTCTAATAAAATCAGTGGGTAGTGATTATAATTACTTTCCCAGTTGTGTTAGCAAATCAGCTCTGTCACTCTCTAATCAGTGACCTGTCTAATTATCCTGAAGTTGTGTACACGCCAGATAAATATCAAACTTTAATCTTTGTTAGGCCTCTGTCTTGACAGTTCTCAAGTAAATAAAGGTAGCTAGGAAAAGACAAAAAGTTTCAAGTTTGAAATACAGTTTTTAAAGAATTAGTCATCAAATGACCCATTAAGATATTCTGAATTTTGAATCACCGCTTTATTAGCCTGATCACATCTTCACTTTTAAGCTTTCCTAATTACAGTAAATACCTTTTAAAATAAAATAAAAGGGGAAAACCTCAAATTTTTTTTCCTTTTCATATCCCATGCAATTTTCCTCTCTAAAACTGCAATCTGTTTTAATGTTTCCTTTATCCTTTCTTTTCATCTCCTTGAATCTCAGTGCAGCACATGTAAAGAAAGCTTCTGGTTCAAACCGAGTTCTGTAAGTGCGTTCTCAGTAACTGATGGCTGTGTCGCTCCTGGCAGCTCACGTCAGAGGTCATGTTTCTGTGTGTGGTGTTGTGCGTGTGCACGGCTTACCTGCTTCTCGTATGTTTTAAACTGCAGCATGCCAGTGCTATCACATGGGAAATAAGGCATAAACGAAGCGCTGCCATTTCTGTCTCCACTATACTAGACCCTCCAGCCATACACATCTAGTCTCAGAATACATTTTCTAGCATTTTTGCAGAGACATATTTGATTGTTTTGAGGGCATGGGGAAGAAAGAGCTGCTTTAGTTGTTTGAAAATCTTAATCTTGTATAATACAAATAAAGATTTTAATGTACACGTGTCTGGTAAGACTCTGGTAAGACAGTTTATACCAGCTCAGTAAGAATGCATGAGCTTTATTTTTAGGAAGATTTCTTAAGGACATAGAGCTCCAGTTAAGGCGGATACAGTTATTCTGCCTTTCTCAGTCCCCTCACTACAAACAATAAATCCGCAGTCTGTTGGCCCTTTCTCGCTGAATTTAGCGGAGAGGCAGAGATCTCCCCGGTTAATAAATTCATAGAGGAATCATTAGAATTGTTGTATGAAATATGAGAAAAATTCAGTTTAATTAGTGCCTTGGGTAGAGAAGAGTTTGAGGAAGAGCTAATGGTTATCTATGCTGTTTAGTTTAGGGGGATCATTTGTGTGACTTGGAACAAGTCCCAGCATGAATTGTCTGTTGCTCAGCTGGTAGGACACGGACAGGAGCTGAGAGTACTGTGGTAGTACGAAGGGGGAAAGCACTGAGGGTATCAGGATAAGATGCCTCAAAGAATAGGCAGAGGAAACTGGTTTGGATTTTATTGGCTGGATATCCTTAGGAAAATGTGTTTCATTAGTTCTGCTGTACCCAGGACAGTTTGCTCTTTTTTAGGTTCATTACAGCAGTATCAAAATATTGAACATTTGCATATTCATACATGTTAGAAGCCTCTGCAGGGAATAAATTCTATTTAAACTACTTCATTTATTGTTGTTCTGTATCTACTGATTCTAATTATGGTAAAATATTTCAAAAATCTTGGTTACTGCATATAAGTTTCATGTTAATATTTTGCTTAAGTAAAATTACATTTTTTAATGGAAAGTATCTGATAAAATTATTGCTGCCTTCTTATAAGGAAGTATTTTAACCTCTATTCTACAAGTGTTAATCAGAGAATTATATAATGTCAAAGGTCTGCACATTAAAGCAATAATAAAACAGAGATTAGCACTCCTGTCTTCAGGCCACTAGATCCTTGTAGCGATTTCCACATATGGTATTTGATGTTTCAGCTGAAGCAATCTTAGGCTGTGGATTTAGAAACTGGAATCACTTGGCTTTAAGATCCAAATTAACCTTTTTTTTTTTTTATATTTTAATGCAGTGTGATCCAAATGAACCTTTTTTTTTTATATTTTAATGCAGTGTTCAGAAAGTTCTAAGAAAAGAGAATTATATTGTTTCAGGAGTTATAATTAATGGTAGCAGCAATTATTAATAATTATTAAGGAATTATTAATTCAAACTTGCAGTAACATAAATTGTAATAGTGTAAAAAACTACAGATGTTAGTTTAGTAAGTCCAAATTATGTAATGACGATAGTAGTCTTTTATTTAAACTGTAGCAGAAAAAATATTCATCAATCATAGCAAAAATCAGCACATGTATCACTGAATATGTCTCTCATCTTTGTCCACATACAGATTTATAATCGGAGATCTTTCAGATTCTGAAAGTGATATATTTGAGCAGTTGAAGGAGTGGGACACGAATTCAACAGAAGAGCAACAAAAGGCTTTCTGCCATGGGATAGAACTCATTCCCTGGTACGTGTTATCCGTCAGGGCCGATGTCCATCAGTTCATGCAACAAGGGGCAACCGTCATTCATTACGACCAGGAGACACATCTCTCTGCACGTTGCTTTCTTCAACTTCAGCCTGACAATAGTACTTTGACTTGGACAAAACCCACAACGGTTTGCCCTGCAAATGCTAAAGCAAAACTGAGTGTGCTGAGTAACACTGCTGAGCTTGGAAAATACCAGTTTCTTGGTAATACTGGGCTGGTGGAAGGTTTTTTGGACTTGTTTTCAGCCAAGGCTGTATATATGGGACACTCTGGCATTGATATGCACACTGTGTGTGTTCAGAATAAACTTTGTAGTATGTCCCTTGAAGAAAATGGTATAACACTACTTTATGGACTTCAGACTACTGATAATAAGTTGCTGCACTTTGTTGCTCCAAAATATACTGCCAGAATGCTGTATGATGGATTGATGGAATTGACTAAAGCTGTAAGAAAAATGAGGAGATTCCCCGATCAAAGACTACAGTGGCTACGGAAACAGTATGTCAGCCTTTACCAGGTAAAAGATGGTGTCATTTTGTATAAGAAGAGTTCAAAGCTGTCCACATCTTAACGTAATGAAATTAGTTTCTAAGTAAGCTAAGATTAAAGATGAGTACCAAATCTCCAACGTTGTAACACAGCTTAAGTCAATAAGATCTGATTCTCCACATAATGTTCTGTCAAGCTTTACATCTTTTCAACAAACTGAAGTTAAATCTTTTTTTCATTATGAAGCTCTTCATATGTTTGGAGCTTTGGAATAAGTATTTTATTAAAGAAAAGGCAATGACTGTACTTTAAAAGGTGCTGAAACTGAGCGATGAGCATTCAGGCCAGAAAAAAAAAAACAAACCACCAAAATAGCCAACAAAATAGCCCTTTGATATTCAAGCAGTAATTAAAAATTGCCTCCTCTTGATGTTTTGTTTTTCATTGGTTCCTTAGAGATGTCTCTATTTTTGCTTAAGGAAGTGTGTCTGTTCTTATTCTCCTTGTTTTGTTAACACTGAGAATTTTTATAGGAGGATGGAAGGTTTGAAGGCCCAACCTTGGCTCAGGCGGTTGAACTGTTTGGAGGCAGACGATGGAGTGCAAGAAACACGAGCACAGGGACTCTCACCAAAAGCACCGAGAAGCCTAGTGTACAGAGAAACAACACTCTGGCAATAAGTGCAGCTAAGAAAAAGAAGAAAGTACTCATGAGGGTAGAATATCTTGTTATTCATGTATTTTTTGCTTATCTGGCTGATCTGTTTCCTTTCTACAGTTACTGTGTAGCTAGCTGTATTCTGAACCAGAGAAAAGAAGTTAGATGATGATTTTACAAGTGTTTATCGCAGTTTCAGGTTTGGGGATTACTGTTTTACAATAGTTTGGGTTTCTTTTCTCATGCTTGAAACATTCTCAGGATGTGTGGGTGCTGGGACTAGCAGAAGGGGACAGAATCTTGTTGAGATCTTTAGGTGCTACCTCAATATAAATGTAAAATATTGGTAATAATAAAAATATTAGCATGCAAAGTGGTGTTTGGAGGCCAGTGTCAGTTTCTTTGCTCCTTTTTGTTTTCATGTTCCCAGAAACATCACCACTGTTACTCTGCCTCAGGTTAGCATGCAGTTTTATCTTTTGTGGGTGACAGGAACACTGGACTTTGTCTGGCGGTCTCCTCTCTTTTCCTGGACTCAACCGCTTGTAGCAATAGCCAGGAGAGAGGAGAATACAGGCACTAGCAGCTCTACACTCTCCACTTGTTCTATTGGGCACGTAGGGGAGATCCTCAAATTACAAGGTCCATCATCTTTAGGGCTCCTTTGCACCAGTGGAATAGTGTAAACCCAGCTGCACCACTTTGAGGATGTGTGGTCACTGTCGTCCTCTGTGATGTGAAACTGAGGTAACACCTAATGGTCCCACACTTTACTGTGTATCCTTTTTAAGTTGTCTCTTTTCTACTTGTCTTGGTCTTATAGGAATTTGTTTCCTAAGGAATAGCTGATCTATCTCACGGTTTCATTACAGATTGCACTGATAAAGAATGGGAGTAGTAGAGTTTTTAGGATGTTTATTATTGTGCTCATTATTTCTAGGGTGAAAGTGGAGAGGCCACTGATGATGAAATGGCAACTCGGAAGGCAAAAAGTTGTAAAGAATACCGTAACAGAAGCGGTTCCGTAACATAAACGTTTCAGATCCTCAAGATATTGATGAACAAGAAGAACCAGGTACATACATCACGTCAGTGCTGTATTGAAAGTCCCTCAAGGTTTTGCTCAGTGTTTTTACACAGACAGTTTTAGGGTGCTAAAATACATTTATGATATAAAACTGTGTTTGCAGTTGAAACTCTGAAGACTCTAAACTTTTAAATTAATTTCTGTAGTTGTTCATAATTATTCTTTCATTTAGTTTCAGTAGCACTTCTTTTCCATTCAGATCAAATAGGTGTATAAGTGTTGTTCAGAATGTTTCTTTTTGACTGTCTTGGGATAAATTTAGAGTCCCTTTATTGTCTTACTGTGCGTTAATGAATTATGATATAGCGCGCTCTGACAAAAGCATTGTTAGTGGGCCAGCTGTTGTAATGGTGCTGCAAACTTTTGATTTCTCTGTAGATCAAAATATTATTATAAATGCTTCTCCATCTAACAACCTGCCATCAAGAAGAGCTCATTCTCTGACAGCATCTGGGTCTCCTAATTTAGGATCTACATCATCTTCTCCAGCAAGACCAGTCTCCTCTCCTGTAATGTCTTCAAGCAAGAGTCAGTCTAGGTAAGGACAAATTTGATACTTTGATTTAAAAAGAAAAAAAAATTACTGTTACTTAATTATTGTCAATGTGACAACATAGGGCATTTAAGCTGAAGTACCATGAATCTGAGAATGGCTTTGTAGCAAGTCCCTGAGCAGCCTGCTTCAGTTTATGTCTGTTACAGAAGCAGATTGGAATGCTGTTCCAAAACTACACAAATATGAAGTTTAACTCTTTCTCCAGTTCTTCTCCAAAATGTAGTTATAGTCATCTTCTGTATAATAAAAATCAACAGAAATGTTGTAGATATGTGAAGTTCTGAGGTTTCTCAGCACAAGTCATTTCTACCTGAGGTAGTATTAACTTCTGCTGACATTCCTGGTGATGATTGCAGTACTGTATTGGGAAATTTAAGGAGGAGATTTGAAATCTTTCTCTTATAGGCCTCTCCTCCTTGAACATTCATCCTTCTTGTGTCACTTAGTGCAAAAGGTTGTGCAGTGACATAGTGCACTGTTATATTAATCCTATAAGTAGTAGTAGTGGTGGTGGTAGTAGTTGTAGTAGTAATAATCTAACAGTGATAGTAAGCCAGGGATGTGGATGGTACCTTCTGACATAAGGCAGGCTCAACAGAGGCCTTCCAGTGCCTGTAAGAGAATGAATACTGAGGTATGTCATGAGTATGAATCTTGGGTTTTCCAGGGGAAGAATGATAAAAAATGGAAGAGATTACCGCTGCCGATAGAACATTCTTTTTGAAGAGATATGTCTTGTGTAATGGTTTATGCTGTATTTCTTAGGGATTTTTTTTAATGCTTAAAACAGTTGGGTTTGGCAATAGGTGTGAGTAGTCGAGCCACCCGTGGGCATCTGTGCTTGGCTGCTTCTCCTTTTAACACTGCTTTCTGAGACTCTTGCTATGTTCTTTACTTCTGTTCTTCACTGTCTTTCACAACCATGGGATGAATATGCCAGACTACGATATATCTCTATACGATATTTCTCTCTTTTTTTTTTTTTAAAGGATTGGAATAGCTTTCTTTTACATTAAACTGAAGAAATACTGCTTTGCTACCCCTAGAAAATATTTCTCTGTTTTGCAAATCTGCTTTTTGCTTTTATGCCAAAATAATTGTTGTTCTCTAAATGAGATTAAAAGGCTCAATGGAGAACTTGCATTCCCTGCGGAAGGACAGCTAATATTCCTTTAAATCCTCTCAGTCCTTGGTTTCTGTACAGAACCCTGAGCAGCTTAGCACTGTGGGCCTCCCTGAGTTATGACAGATTTTCCCTGGCAGAGTTGTCTGGAAACTCCACGGCGTAGCTTGGTAGAGCTCTCCTCAACTTGATATGACCCTTCTTATTAGAATTTGCTCAGGATACAGCTGTATGGCTGTTTCATCTGTACTGAGAAAATCCTCCTCAGAACAGAACTGCATGTTTTATCCATTACCTTGACCAAGTTTTCATGAGTCATTAAGAGACTTGGAGCACTGGAGAGAGTTTTATTCTCGCTTTTTACCCTTTGGGCCTTTGATAGGTCTGAATTGTACTTGCCCGTTTTCATGTGTGTGAACGCTTCACACGTGCTAAAGGAAAGAAATACCTGTAGGGCCTCAACTGTGATCAGTCAGTCTAAGATAGCCAATAGTTGTCTCTCTGCTTTGCTGCGAAGTCCTGTGATCACCCACCCCGTTTGTTACCAGCTCAGCTTTCTGTGCAGCCCAGTGGGACCCTCTGCTCCCTGCTCCCCTAGGCGCTGGGTTCTGTGAGGGATCACACACTCACCTCATGTGCTCAACCAGCTCATGTCTAACCCTGCCTCCAACTATGAAACCTTGTCAGTGTCTGAGTCTAAATCCAGTTGCTAATCTGGATTAATAACGTTGTTGGCTCTAATCTGTGCAAAGCTATGTAAATGCGTACAAGCACCAGGCTGCACAGAAGCCTCTGTGGCACGGAAAGCTGAGCTGGTAACAAATGATTGCTAGCTGCAGTGTAGCAGTTAGGAGAAAGAAAGCAAGAGAGATTTCTAGCTTTTTTTTTCTCTGGCCACATAATATGTGCATTATGTGATCGGTAGTTATAATAGAACAAATAAAATTTCTTAAAGTGAAAAAACCCCACCCTAAATATAATAATAGCAATTTAAAAAGAGGAGCTGATTGTTGCAAATTTAAATAATAGTAATTCTTATAGACAGAGAATGAAAAAAAGTATTTTTACATATATAACTCACAACCTTGATATTCCTGACCTCTTCACAAATAATTTACGTTGAGACTAAATCCTTGCAAAATCCAGATGTCCGGATTATTTTCAGGCACAGGTAGCCTGCAGCTGTCTTCTGTCATTCTTTCAAAGCAGATGTGCATCCATCCCATTCTCAAGTTCTTTGGCAATCCAGTGCCACATAGGTGAAGAATCTTTGAGTCACATAAAGGTTTGGGTTGGAAGGGACTTTAAAGGCCATCTAGTTCCAACCCCATTGCTATGGACAAGAACACCCTCCACTGGACCAGGTTGCTCAAAGCCTCATCCAACTTGGCCTTGGTGAAGCAGGGCAGAGGAAGAAAGGGTGGTAATGCCACTGGGACATTAGAGATGGGGGCTTTTTTTGCAAAGACAGAGTAAACTGTCTCTCTCATTAGCTCTATGCAGGTATAATCCAGACTGCTTCTGATTACAGTTGTGGTGGTTGGAGGTAGTGGGATTTTCTTAGGGCTTTTGGCTTTTTTTTTTTTTTTTTTGATAACCTGTATTTATTACCCATGGAATGATTGTGGAAGATACTCTTTAGTGATCACATCCAAGGCAATGCTGAGCGTTATTATCTTCTGCTGGTCTTCCATTCAGTACTCTACAGTTCCAGTCTGTTTTTCTGGAGTCAAGAGACTTTTCTCATCATGGTTTGTTTTACTTGTCTGATAAAAATGTTAAGAATTATTTTAGTCAAAAAGTTATATGCAGTATGTCAGTACTTGCCATAGTGATGTCAAACAAATAGAACTTTATCAAGTAAAGTAGATGATATTTTTTAATACTTTTAAATCACATTCTGTTTTCAATTGCATGCATCCATCGCAGGCCAGGAGGGAATTGAGGAATCTGATCTCTCATATTTATGTGAAAGTCTCCTGCTTGCAACAGGTGACTGCAAGTGTCTTTAGGAACACTGGAGAACAAGCTGGTCCTGTTTTTCCATTACAGAGTTGGAACTATTTGTACTGAACCTGATGACAGAATTTGTAGATTAATGGATTTGTAGATTTGAACATTACAGAGCAATAAAGTCTGACACACAGTCACTTAGTCTGATATTTTGAAACAAATACTATAACTTCTGGACTTAGTTATGGTTTAAACTAGACAATTCTTGATATTTGTGCTGGTTGCCTAGGTACCTTCCTTTCTGGGATGCTGGTGCTGGTGGATCCCATTCCTGTAGTGTGTGTGCATTGGTGTTTAGGCCTAGGAAGAGGCCTAAGATCTCAGCCCATCATTACAAATCAGTACACAAAATTCACTAAGGACTTGTTCTTACTGCTCAAGGGATAATTCAAGCTGGGGCCTGAATACAATTACTAGTTTAAATCCTGTAACAGCCTAAAGATTTTGGGATGTGGCTTTTGGAAATGTACTGGTTCTGCTTCAAAAACTTTGTTGAGCTGCACAACTTGGGTTAAAAACTGCAGTTATAAAGAAATTGGCTGGGTTTGGTATTACTCAAGTCAACTAAAATAATTAGCACTGAACAGCCAGTGATCATTTTTCTGCTTTTGCTCTCAAGAAACTCCAGTTTGCTTTCCTTCCTTCAGCCCACAAAGCTGAAAGGAGGAAATAATTAGAACCTCATTTCTAGAAGAAAGTGGCCTCCAGAGGCTAGTGTCCAAGCCTAAAAGGAGGACTGTAACTTGACCTGTCTTTAAGATATCTGATGATAATCCTGACTGTTCTTGGGAAGTATCTGGGAAACCCATAGGCTGCGACACAGTGAAGATTGAGTGCCAGAAAGGGTGAAGTGTTACGATTCTTAAAATCTACACCTTTAATGCTCCCAGATATAAGAAAACCAGATGCATAAGGAAAATATTTGTTTTTTTCTTGCATATCCAGTCAGAATATTACTTTTTTTATTTTGACAGTGCAGAGCTTTAAGGAATTCTACATCCATTTTATTTTTCCCTTAGCAAATCTTCAACAAACCTCATAAACAGACTGTGCTGTAAGAGTACTGGCATCGCTTTCTTTAAAGGGAAAATGAGAATGCTTTCATTCATTCCATTTTCATCAGGCCCTTTTGCACACAGAAGAGTTTTCAATAGCATGCATACACATTATTAATTCTGGCAAATTCTGCAGTTGTCTTGAGGGAAAAGAATAGCTGCTATAAAGCAAGAAGGTACAAAGTGTTGTTATGCGTCTTGTAAGATACTGCTGTCTTTGCTTCTTCCAGATAGCGGTAATAAATGCATTAAGAGCACAAATGAAGTGTTAATGCAGCAATGTATAATGTTTCAATAAGTAGAAATTTAATGTAACCAAACTACAGTAGTCTCTTTGTGATTTAGCACATGGAGCAGCAGCAGCTGGCATGGCCGCGTTAAAGGAGGAATGAAAGGGTTTCAGAACTTCATGGTGTCTGATAGTAACATGACTTTTGTGGAATTTGTAGAGCTCTTCAAATCTTTCAGGTAAAATACATTTTTATTATGTACTGATCTCATTCATCCAAGTTTATAAAAGAGCAAAAATTGAACTTCTCAACTCTTTTTGCAGTGTCCGTAGCCGCAAGGATCTCAAAGACCTTTTCGATGTCTATGCTGTGCCTTGCAATCGATCTGGTTTAGAGCCTGCTCCACTTTACACTAATTTGAAGATTGATGAAAACAGTAGTGGATTCCAGCCTGATTTAGGTTTGTTAAAGAGGAAATACAGCTGTTAGACTACTGAACAGCTTCAGTTATTGACCTTAAGAAAAAGTGTCTCAGTCAATCTCATAATGAGCTATCAATTATAGGTTCAAGTAGAGGATTGCTGCGGTACTTCCACTAGTACCTAGTAAGCAGGATGTTGGACAGGTTCTTTGTTCAGAAATGAAGGGCAGAAAAAGTACTCCAGCTTTACATTAGCTAGATGTATTTGTAACCAGTATAGCAGAGGCATAAAACTTGTTGCTGAGTGACTTGGCCCAACACAGGGATTTGTATCTGGTTGCAGAATTTCTGGAGGGGCTAAAACACTGAGCAAATGCAAGGAGGAGAAATGAGGAGGCTGTGCCCTGTTTCTCATTTGGTTGGTCTATCTTGTCTCCTAGTAGATCTGCTTTGTGTGGGACAAAGGGGAAGTAAAACTCTGTCCCCCTTCAGATTCCCCAGTTACCATACTCTAAGTCTGGCATTTTGTCTATATTTAAAGAAAACAGTCTTTCTGCCAAGCAGCCTGTGGGGAGGGTACAGTACAATTGGCATGTCGGACTGGAAGGTAAATGGTGATTGCACAGGAAGGGTATGGGAATTGTACAAGCGATGGAAAGGCTTTGAGGCGGTAGGTGATGGTGAGAGGAAGCAGCAGGTCCTGGGTGACAGTGTGTGAGGGTGTGAGTGGTCCCTGGATTTTGTTTATAGTAATTGAACACTGATAGTCCACTCCCACTGTTTTCATGTATGCTTAATAATATTTTTTCTGTTAGAGAATAGAAACAAGATGGTTTTATTCTCACTTACTATGTCAGTGCTAAAATATTCAGTGAGATATTCATCTGTATGATATATTACATTATATTCTATACAGTATACATAGTACACATAATTTTATAGCTTATATTTCCTTTTCCTTTCTTTTAAGATTTGTTGACTAGGAATGTTTCAGACCTTGGTTTGTTCATTAAGAGCAGGCAGCAACTATCAGACAACCAGAGGCAAATATCTGATGCTATTGCTGCTGCCAGTATCGTAACCAATGGCACTGGAGTTGAAAGCACATCACTGGGAATATTTGGAGTGGGAATCCAGCAGCTAAACGACTTCCTGGTGAATTGCCAAGGAGAACACTGCACCTATGATGAAATCCTCAGTATTATCCAGGTCTGTAATACAAAAATCTTGCAATTCCTTTTACTTAAACCCTTGTTAATTCTGTTTCTCCCACTGGAATTGTCTGCCTTGTAGTCAGAAGAGCATATCTGCGTGGGTATCTCCTTTCACACTGATGTCATTATAGGTTAATTGAATTTAAACTTAAATACTGTCTTTATTCTGGGCTCTAAAAGTGTGCAGCTATCCATAAAAAGAAAAAACCTCATGCAAACAAAGTTTTATTGTCTATGTGTGCTTTATCCAGAAAGGGATGTCACCATCTGGGAAAAGTATTCATGACAGTACTTTGTTTTCTTCTTGTGAATGACCACCCTTGATATACCTTAACCCTAATTTGGAACTTGAAAAAACATCATTTCCACATATTTTTATTTTATTATGAAAAATGTTGCAGAACAAACATGGACATTTTATTCTGTTATGTACAATGGCTGAAGTGATTAGAAAGTATGTAGAAAACATAAATTCTTCCAAACATGCATAATTAATAGACTCCAAAATGAAGCTCCCACTTTGCAGTTAACAAAGGCTAAAAGCTGTGTGTTTCAGCTGTCAACATGTAATGTAAAATTGTAAAGTTTAAAAGACAGAAAATTCTAAAGAAACAACAGGTTAGCATACCACAAGTCTCTGTAATTAGAGATGGTGGTATGTTGTGTTTAAGTACAATAGGAAATGAGGATGCCTGGCAACAGATCCTTTTTAACTTCATCTTAAGTCCTGACTCTCCAGGAGGTTGGATTAGATGACCTCCCACCAACCTTTCCAACCCGAAGGCTTCTACGATTTACGAGTTTAGTATGCTGTGTAGTGATATGTAAAACAAGTGTGAGCATGCTGTTGGCTAATTACTTTATCCACAAAAATACTGGTTTTACATACTGATTGGTTAGTTCAATGAGCAGACTACACTATGAAAATAGGAAAACATATTTCTAAGAATTTTTATTATATATATCTCATAAATTTCTTCCTCTTTATAGAAATTTGAACCCAGTGTGAATATGTGCCAGCAGGGGCTGCTCTCTTTTGAAGGATTTGCAAGGTAATTGTTTATGTATTAATTTATAGGGGTGTGTGTATATATATATATAAGGATGGCACAAGTGTACTGATGTGTTTGTATGACAGTCACAAAATACTTAGCACAGCATAACATTTCCTCACATCTTCTCACCTCTAGATTTTTGATGGATAAAGACAACTTCGCCTCCAAAAACGATGAGTCACAAGAGAATGCTGAGGACTTGCACTTTCCACTGTCATACTACTACATAGAATCTTCACACAATACTTACCTTACTGGCCATCAGCTTAAAGGGGAGTCCTCAGTAGAGCTCTACAGCCAGGTATGCAGGATTGGATCGCTGTGTAGTTTTCAACATGAGCTTGTTTGTTTAACTGCCAAGTCGCAGAAACATGACCTTTTTGCTTTGAAAATCTAAATGTCCTAAACCCCTGCTTGCAAAATGTTGGAAAACATGATGTGTGGGAAAGCTGCCTGTAAGCACAGTTGGGCTCAAATGCCTTCTCTAAGGCAAAAAAAAAAAAGGGGTTTAGTTTGAGATTCATAGCATTTAGACACCAGTCGGTCTGACCCAACCTACTAAAATTAGACTTTCCCACAGGAAAGACTGATCTAATATTTTAGTTCATTCAGATGTCAAAAACACTACTCAAATACTGTACATTGCACTGCAAAGACAAATTTCAAATGGAACAATAACTTCTAAAAAAATTACTTCTAGGAATATTCTACAGTTTTTTAGACTTTATGCCTGTTTGGTGGTGAACAGGAAAGGAGCGATTTCTCCCTAGGGCTTTTGGTTCTGTGTTTGTTTGTGTATATATTTATATATATTTGTGAGTCTCTGTATTTACCAGATGCTAGAGAAAGCATCAAACTTCCTGAGCAGTGTTTTCATTACTCTAAATGTTAATGACTCACCATTGAGAAGGGCTCATCTGGTGTCCCATGTGCTGCTTTGCCTGGAGCTGTACGACAGAGGGGTGTGAGGCTGTGTTGGGAAAGCCCGAATGACATGATTGCATTGAATAATGCAAAGGAGGTTCCTGTAGTAGCACTGCACAGAGAGATGTGAGCCTTGTGTTGGTAATACATGGGAAGTGAGATAAGAGCTCAGCTGGCTCCAAAATTTGCATGATGCCAAAAAGCTTCTTCCTGTCCCTCAAGTAGTTGTCCCCAGAAAAGAAGGGGCACGTTCTTCTGGCTCTTCACAGAAGTGGTGGTGTGCAAGCTATGGACACAACTGCCTGGAATCTCATTATTCAGGTTTTGAATAGGGGAAGTAATTTTTTCTTTGTTCATGAGTGATTTTGCTGGAAATTATTGTGGTTGCTGAGATTTTTGCTGTCAGTATTTAATTGCAATACAGATAACTCTTTCAATGATAGGCATGCCAAATATTGAGAGCAACAATAAGCTGGGCTGCCAACAGGAGGGTTAGCTTATCTTTCCTTCCATCCTTCATCTTTGCTTTCATCTGTGGTTTTCTAGTAAGTAGGGCTCTCTAAAATAAGTAAATGAATAAATAAAAAATGGATGGACGGATGGCTATAAATTAGCTGAATACCATTAAATAAGATGGCCTGGCACATTTCCATCCTAACTATCTTCATGCAAGTTGCTCGTAAGTCATTATTTTCAGGCCTTCTTCTGTGGCCTGAAAAAGAACAACCAAACAAACTGTAGATGCTGTGCCCATAAACTACAGTCATGGTAGCAACCTGGAATAAATTGCCATGTTGCTTTATGCCTGCTTTTCCACGGAGAAATAAGGAAATGTTTCTCTCCCTCAGAACATTAAGAACCACTTTCTACAGATTCCGTGTAAGATACCATGAATTTCAAAGTTTTATGGTACTTCTCCAAAGAACATAAACACATTCTTAATTTTCCCACTCAATAGGGAATGCAGTCAGCTGGAGACTGTAGCTTCTGTGTGCTATGTTTACTCCACAGAGTTTGCTCTTTCCAGCACTTTTGCTGAGTCACTGGGCTTTCATTTAGCTCTGCAATGTCTGTCTTCTGCTTTGATGGCATGAGACTGTGACTTCTACATGCTTACACTGTTCAATTGCATTGTAGGTTCTTTTACAAGGCTGCAGAAGTGTAGAATTAGACTGCTGGGATGGCGATGACGGGATGCCTATTATTTATCATGGGCACACTCTTACTACTAAGATCTCTTTTAAGGTATGCTGGTAATTGCACATAGAAACAAAATGAGAAGAAAATCAGTAACTTTAATGAAGGAAAAAAATTGCCTACTAGAAGAGTACAAGTCCTAATGGTCTAAATCCTAACAGAATATGAATTATGGACTACATCAGACATGAACTCTTCAATTGTAAACATTACGCATTTCAAATTAGTTTTTGTAGCATATGTACTGTAATTTTCTGGTGTCAACATAACTCACAGAAGTAGCTGTTACCAATTCTGTTGTAGCAAGATGCTAGGTGGATGTGTAGGAGCTTGTTTTGAAAGAAAATTGTGGATTCTTTCTTTTTAGAGGGGAAAACAGATGCCTTCCTTGTTCCCCTTTCAGGTAACAGGAAGTTAACTGAATGCTGTCAAGTAATCACATGTTCTTTACCTGACCTTTCCTTCTCACAGGAGGTAGTTGAAGCTATTGATCGCAATGCATTTATCACCTCAGACATGCCCATTATTATATCTATAGAAAACCACTGTTCGTTGCCTCAGCAGCGCAAGATGGCTGAAATTTTCAAGGTAGGCCATAAATTGTGGTAAATTATTCTAAGCACATGCCCTCAGATTTTCTATAATACATCACGTGTTCTTGATGTTTCAGAATGTATTTGGAGATAAGCTGGTAACGAAGTTTTTATTTGAGAGTGACTTTTCTGATGATCCCATGCTTCCTTCACCTGGCCAACTGAAAAGAAAAATCCTGCTTAAAAACAAGAAGCTCAAAGCCCATCAAACACCAGTGGATATATTGAAGCAAAAGGTAAAGTCCTTCCTTCATAACAAGCAGTGAGACCTAACTTTTGTTAGAAATAATTCATTTGTGTTGGAAGTTTTTTGCTGTTTGAGTACGTGCAGAAGAATAATCTAATGAATGTTCACGCTTGGAAGACTCACAGTGGATTGCAACACTTTCAAATAAATCGACAAATCATATAATAAAGTTTAGAGACAGCATAACAAAATGTTAGTGTATTTTACTTTTACAGAATAATATTACAATTATTACTACCTGCCCTATATAATAAACATAAATGACGTTTCACTCTGAAGCTGTAACATTTGGTCTTCATGTTTGTTGAGAAATACTGATACGCATGGAGTATGTGTGTGTATATACAGTATGTAGCAATTTTTAGTAGAATTCTTCTTTGTTTCTTTTTTCATATTCAAGCCAGGCAAATACTCTCTTAATCCCTTTTCAGGAGTACTCTGCTATTCAAGTAGTGCTTATACCTATATGGGAAATGTTTAGGTTTCTGGTAAACTAGGGCTGCATCTCTGGTAGCCTCAATTTAACAATGTCTGTGGTTAGTCAGCAGTTAAATTGATTCCTTGAAAACTAACTGCTTTTACCCAGAATGTAAACACAGTTGAATTAGAATTGAATTCTGGCATCCAAATAAGTAAATCACACTGATCGTACCAGTATGTGGACATTTCCAAAACAGCATGCCTCAGACGGGAAAAAGGCAGTCTTGATGTGAATAATATGCGAAGTGGACATTTTCCTGTAATTAATCAGGATTCATATCTTATTGGGTAATTTTCTACCAATACGTATTTTCTTTATATTAAACCCCTTGAAGTGTTATTTTAGTTTGATCTTAACAATCTCACTTATTCCTCATTACATTTATTCAGTGCTTTCATATAAATAAAATAAGATGCAAACAGTAAGGAGAACTCTTTGGTTTTTTAAAAATACTTACTGATAATGAATAAGTGGTTCTGTTGCTGCAGGCTCACCAGCTGGCGCATATGCAAGCACAGGCTAGCAATGGTGCTAGCAACCCCACCCCTACCAATGAAGAGGAAGAAGATGAAGAGGATGAATATGACTATGACTATGAATCTCTCTCTGATGGTAACAACATATATTTATTTATTTCAGTGCTGTTGTTAGAATTGTAGCAATAAGGCACATAAATACTCTAGTTCAGGAATGATGTAGGTATGCTGATCTTACCTTGTGAGAGGAAGATGTACTAAATGTCCTCAGTGGCACTTGGGTGCAATATTCTATAATACAGTAAAATAATTTGACTTTGTAGAGGACTTCAGTGTGACTTTAACTCCAACCACTGGATGTTTTTACTGTGCAGTGTGTGCTAAATTATAGTCTTCATAAATTATATAATTTATATTATGTAAAAACATAGATTGGATATAATGATTGGCATGCCAGAGGTGATAAAAAATACTGCAGTTAGTAACTTCTACTACTTCCTTAGCTCTCCAGTTCAGTCAGGCATGTTGGATTTAACTACAGGTGAAGGACAGAATGTACCAGACTGCGGCAGCTGAGCTGAAGTCATGCATCTTGTTTTGCTTCTCTTGCTGCAGAGCTGGTAGATTCTGGTAGAGAAAACAGCTGGAGTCAGAAACATTTAATCCCCTCATGTTTTGTCAAAGGACATTTCTCAAAACCCCCATGCATGGATGGCACAAGCTAGATGCATCTAAATGGGTTACTTTTATTTTTCATTGCTGATTTTCCAGAGAATATATCAAAGTAGATCACAGTGAGTTTCCCCCATGAGACCGAAGTGGTGGTACAAGTGATACCAAGCTCTTTGGGTAGTTAAATGCTGCACCTTTCTTAAACTCCATAAATGAGTCACAAAACTGACCAAGGGGACACTAAAGTTACAGATGTGCTTCAGTGTAGATAAAGATAAGGTAACTTAGGGGAAAAAACTTAAACTTAGCTTGTGTGATTCTAAGCTCAACAATGGCAGTGACAATTTGGGAGGCCATGGAATTAATTGAAAGGTTTCTGAAAGCCTCAGCTTGGTGTGCAGCAACAGCCAAAAGATGGGGATCACCAGGAACAGTACTGAAAATGAAACATCCTTCTGCTTCTGTATAAAACCTTAACGGACCACAACTTGAGTTTGGTGTCCAGTTTTTCCCTCCAGATTTTGAGAATTATATGATGGAGTTAAGGAACTTAGAAAGAGGGCAACGAAAAAAGTAAAGGGAAGTGTGGTGGTGGTCTTGCACAAGTCTAAAAAGGCCAGCCGGTAGAGAACCGAGGGGTGAATTTGAAGCAGGTTTACTAAATCATGAAGTGGTAGATAAAAGGAGCACAGAACTGCTACTCCTTAGATCTAGGAGGTGATCACTAAAACAAGTGGAAGATAAGTCTAAAACAGGTGAAATAAAGTATTTCTTTGTGTAGCTGGTAGTAAACTTTGGAATTAGCTGCCACGGGAAATTGCGGAGGCAAACAGTATCAGCAGCTTGAAACACAGGATTGGACAAATCCATGGACATGTTTATAAGAAAATGGTATAGGTAGAAATGTATGGTCCAACGTCCCTAATATTCAGCAATTGTGGATGTTGGGGTGGCACAAGGGAAGTGGGCTGTGACTAGGGGCTGGATGCTCTCTTTAAACAGCATCTCCTGTTGCCACTGTCAGAGAATGCCGCGCTAGGTGGACCATTGGTCTGTGCAGTTGGGCATGTTCTCCTAGGTAAAGTGCTTCACTCACTGAACCTTCAAGTCTAATGGGTGCCTCTTTGGGTTCTACATACCATGTTCAGAGAAGGTGTAAGCACAGGATGTCTTTCCAGTTGGTCTGTTGCTGACATTACTTGCTGTTGTGGTTTAGGCCCAGCCAGCAACAAAGCACTACACAGCCACTGGCTCACTCCTCTCCCTTGGTGGGATGGGGAGGAGAAAATAACAGGAAAGGCTCGTGGGTTGAGACAAGGACAGAGAGATCACTCACCGGTTACAGTCACGGGCAAAACAGACTGGACTTGGGGAATAAAAAACAATTTAATTTGTTACCAATCAAATCAGAGTAGGATAATGAGAAATAAAACACCTTCCTCTCACCCCTCCCTACTTCCTGGTTTCAGCTTTGCTCCCTCCTCCCAGTGAGCAGCGCAGGGAGACAGGGAAT